CAAGCTCCATTGCCTAATAACACCCGACCGCGTCATGGGCAGAACGGCAGATGTACGAAAGACCGAACCAGTATGGTCAAAGTCCACCCAATTTTGGAGCAACGGGTTGGAGCGTTGCAAGTGGCCCTTCAACTCAAGCCCAACCACCTACAATTCTAGAAGCTTTTAAGCACACGCTTATGCCCTTTCTGCAAAACTCAACTTGCTTTAACCCCTGCTGGAACGCGGTAGGCAATGTTGTGTCCACATTGCAATTGGTCGTTTCTTCTTTAACGCTAGTATGAGATTTACCGTTAGTTGCCCCCAGGGGTTTTTTTTTATATATATATACTCAGTAAAAAGGTATTAATAATATAAATAGTCATGATTGATTCCTAATTAAACGGACTATATATACCAGAAAGAAACCTATCTTTGGAGTAAAGCAATCTATATGTGATTGTGTACAAGTCTGTACGGCTAAATTTTCGAATGCTTCAATTCTAGTATTGTACCATGCTCTTACCTTCCATGGTGACCTACTTTCAGTATTTATTGCACTGGTGCCACGTTTAGACGGAAAACTATAACGTGCTTGTATTAATATCATTGAAATGTCGCAATGCTACTAAACTACTAGACTATGACCAATTTCTGCTAAGACGGGGGTTTTTAGAGAAAAAAATCCAATAAAGGAATGAACCTGGCAAGGATTGCATCCGAAGCCATCTCACATTTTCAAAGGGAAAGAAGAAAGACCCATTCGGGGCCTCTTTGCAAGGGCAGTTCAGTGCGGTCCGATGGGAGCTCCTCTCATTACCTCGTACCCTCCTAAACGACGTTGAACTCATTGCATGGCATTGGCACCAACAGTCTAAAGTAACAGAACCATGTCCATGACCGATAGGCCCAATAAGATTTTGTTGAAACCGACATGGAGGGGGATTCAGCTTCACAACAGAGCCCAAATTCTTTTCTTCAGATATGCCCAAGGTGAAGCTATATACTTCTTCATTCGTCACCTTTACTTGATGGCATGACTGGTGAAGTTCAAGTGGCCCAAAACTCCAAAGGAATTTAGTGATCCATGCAAAGTGTTTGGAGAGAATCCAGCGAGGCCGATCACTTGGAAACTACATACTTTTGAATAAATTAAATGTAAATGAAGATCTGTACTTGAACCTACAATAAATATTCCCCGTTTGCCTTTCCTGAAACCTTGTCTAAAGCAGTGATCCTGATCCTGATCCTAATTAGCTTGCTTAGCCTTTTGATTAGGCAGATCCCGGAGGTCCCCACACCCAACTGAAAACATTTGGGTCAAAGTCTCTG